CTCAAGTCTGTGTGGAGGGGATCAGCACCACTCAGCATGAAAATGAAAATAAGATGCGTATTTTCAACTCCAATGTGAAGTCAGTCAGTGCTACTTACTATAGTGTCAGTGCTACTATACGGATCAGAGACTTGGCCAGCGCGTCATTAAGAGCACCTCAAACAAACTACAGACCTTCATCAACAGCTGTCTTCGCTCAATACTCAAGATCAGATGGCCGGCCAGAAAAGATCAGCAATAGGGATCTCTGGGAGCAAACCAACCAGGAACCGATCGTGCAACAAATAAGCAGGAAGAAGTGAAGTTAGGTGGATTGGCCATACTCTGAGAAAACCATCAAGTGACATCCAAAGACAGGCCCTCGAGTGAAACCCGAAAGGGAAGCGGCTAGCTGGTCATCAGTGCAAGGATGACATGGAGCAGTAGGAGGAGGTGATGTGAAGAGGAGATTAAAGCATGTGGGCAGACTTGGAGTCTGGTGAAAACTCCAGGAGAGAACCGAACGCAATAAAGAAGTTTGGTTGAAGCCCTATGTTCCTCTAGGAATTAAAGGAAACAATAATAAGAATAATAACCTGGCTGCGGGTCTACCGAGACACTAAGAACCAGGGAATGAAGACCGTTCGTGCTATGGCTAAAAGTTGTCTTCATTGTGGCGCAGTTCCGCACTATTCCGTAAATTTCCCCCTTAATCATAGGTCGTTCGTTTAATTTTATTCTGCATTTGTTCGCTATATATGGAGAGAGAGTGCAGTAACTTTGTACTGCTGTACTTTTGTGTTTTAGTACAGCCTTGGAAACTCAATCAGCTTGGTAACTAATACATATCCCCTTGATGTTTTTTTTTAAAAATTTCCCCTCTAGATAACACCATTGCATAATCGTGTTGAAATGATCCTGGTCAATACAAGTGTTATACGTGAGTTACAAGGAAAGTTAAACTCATTGAAATCTTCTCATTTACAATTAATTAATCAATTTCATACTTTTAATCAATTAATATCTAATCAATTAGATTGTGTTAAGTTAATGTTTAATCGATATAGCGAACAAATGATAACTACTGATGAGACACCGGGCATACGAAACGCATTAGAAGGTAAAGAGAAAGCACGAGAAGAAGGAGATGTTGTCGTAGTTGTCAACAATCAGAATTGGTGGTCCACTGAGCCTGACCTATCCACAAATGATGCTTATCTCAAAGAATTAACTGAATTAAAACTGCAATATGAGAATATACAAGATCAGTTGTCGAAATCTGTAGAAGAATCGCTCACTTTGAAAGCTAATCTACAAGATATTGAAAATCAATTGAAGTTATCGATTTCAGAAAATCAATTAACCGATTTGAAAGAGATGATAGAGTTAGTAGATTGTGAGAATAGTTCTCATGTCAGGAGATATATGTTTAAAGCATATATTGATTATGTGAATCAAATTTTACATGAACATAAGACAAACTGTCGTCTACCGTTCAGTTATCAGCCTAGTCAAGTAGAAAATCAATATGATGAATCCAATTATCAATTATATACATTGAATGAATCATTACATCGTATTAGTGAATTACATCAACTTCTCTTGCAACAGCAACAACAAGAGCTGTCGAGGAATCAACAAAGCAGCTTTTCCGTAGATGCTGAACAAGATCAATATCCATTCAGTCAAGAAATCGATAAATTATTAGATGATGATAAGACAGAAAGTGTTAGTGTGAGTCAAAGGGAATTCACTGAGAGATTGGGACATGCTATAAATATAATTTATGAAGAATTGATTAGATGTCAAAGACTCGTTGATAAGTTGCTCAATGACAAAGCCAACCACTGTAATATTATCAGCCAACAAGCCCATGATATACAACAATTGAATGAGAGACTAATAGCAATTCAAAATGACTCAATGAAACAAGTATATCCCTCAGATGAGATTGCTCAACAGTGGCAATACACTCAAACACATATGACCCCCGAACCTGTAGAAGACAGTACTCAACCAGACGATATTACCGACCAATTCATCGAAACCGAACAAGTAACACCTATAATGACATACCCTACTCAAATCGAGGAAACAGAAGTAACACACGTCGATCAACCATCGAAACCGTCACTATCCGAATATAACGCATTGGACGAGCTGTGTAGAGATTTGCAGCGTGCACTGGACACACGATCATCGGAGTTGGAGACAGTAGTTGAGAAAATGAGAGGATGTGAATCAGTGAATGCAGCGTTGACGCGTGAGTGTGAGTTGTTAAAGCATCGTGTAGAGAAGTACACAAGGGTGACTACTGATCTGGAGAATGATGTGAGTCGAGCGAAGGCACTTGTGCCACTAGTTGTGAATGAGCTGAGAGACTTGCGCACCGACTATGGAGATTGGTGTAGAGAACACGAAGAACGAGTTGGTGAGTGCATTGAAGCTGTTGGGACAGCGCTATCAGCGGTATCATCGTCATTGGATGATGGTGGTGTGGTTGAACGTGTGGACCGTGATTGTGGAACGAGTGATTGGCCAGAGGAGTTGGATGCTTCTGTGAGCGAAATGAGAAGACTGTGCGATTCGAACCGTGAGCTGTCAGAGGATCTGTGCAAGTACCGCGAATTGTGTGATAAGCAAGCGTCGGAGATATCATCGATGCAGGTAGCTTTGCGTGAAGCAGTTGAGCAAGCGTCATCGGCACGCGATGAACTCGAGGCTTATAGACAGGAGAAAGTGAGCGCGCTGTCAGAGTTGGAGAGACGACTGGCTGTTTCGAGCGAGGAGTGTTGTGCATTACAGGCTGAAGTGCAGCGACTTGAGAAGTCGATAGAAGAGAATTGTAAGACAGCGGTTGCAATAGCCAGTCGAGACTGGGAGTTGCACATAGAGCAAGTGACGAGTGAACGTGACACTGCGCTTAGAGAGTTGGTGGAACTACGTGAAAGACTGGAGGCAGCAGAGAGTGTGAAGATTGGAGGTGTTGAAGAAGCAGGCGCAGGAGCAGTAGCAGTAGCAGGCGAAGAAGTGGTGACGAGAGTGATGACAAGCGATGTGAGAACTGAGAAAGTCATCGAGTGTGTCATTGAACATGATGTGGCCTTGTCGTCAGGATTGACGACACGTGAGTGGAGAGAGACTGTGAGCGTGGGAGTTGGTCATGATGTTGAGGACGACGAATTGATTGGCGGAACGGTAGTGGACGGTTGGAGCGACTACAAGTTGGAGTGGAGCGGTACTGGTGATGAGGACAAGTCGCCGGCGAGTGTACCGAGTAGTGTTGTATTTGTGGATGTAGGGACTCAGGTGGTGGTTAGTGAGTTGTCGTTGATCAGTGGTGATGAGAGTTTGTCAAAATCAGAGTCAGCCGGTGTTGGTGTTGGTGCTGGTGTTGACTTGTCTGTTGGTGTGGATGTTGGAGATGCGACTGGTGTTGAGATGGAGGTGGCGGTGGCGTCGGCGGCTGCAGAGGAGGAATCACGTAAGTCGGTGGACGAGCTACGTGCAGAGTTGGCCTTCTGCTATGACCAGATAGCGACGCTATCTAGATGTGTGGAGGAGAGCGGTGACTCGTTGAGAGATGTGCGTCATTTGTTGAGTGTGAAGGAGAGAGAGGTAGCTGAACTGGAGGAGGAGAAGCGTCGTTTGTCGGTGGAGGTGAGTGAGGGTCATGAGACACTGTGTGCAGAACGACGCGATTTGGAGATGCTTCGTGCGAATGTTGCTGCGTTGGAGAAGGAGATGGAGGTGATGACGAGGCGGCGGGATATTGAGAGTGGTGTGTCAGATGGTGTTGTTGTTGTTGGAGAGGAAGTGTGTGTGCAAACGGAGGTGGAGGATGTCTTCGACTTGGTGTCGAAGCTGCAGCTGGAGGTGTCTCGTCTGCGTAGTGAACAATTGAGTATTACAAGTTCCATGGAGGTATGTGAAAGGCTTCCTGTTTTGGAATCTTTCCCACCGGTTGTTTCTGCTCCACCGGGTATTTGTATTGATGAATCATCGTCTTTTGTCTACCCTTCGACGTGTCTTTCACTTCAGGCAAGTAAACTTACGTCAGATTCTTGGACTTCTATGCGAAATGTACCTTCTGTAATTGAGTCTCAGAGCTATTTCTCACTACCTGGTGAATATCAAATGCTTCCTGCTGTTAGTGATGTCGTTTCTTCAATCCCCTCATTTGAAATGCCTCCAATTGTTCCGTCGACTGTTGTTTCTTCTCTATCTAGTGATCTTGTCACGCATCGTGATTCACTTTCGGTTGTCTCCACATCTTCGTATATCTCATCAGTTCCTTCGTATAAATGTGAAACGATTGAAGCTACCATCCCACCGCCTGTTAGGCACTTTTCTACACACCCTACTATTGAAATTTCTAAAGAATACTCATTTTCACTAATAAAGACAGATACTGGAGAACCTTCTAATCTTGTTCTCAGTTCGCCTACTGAATGGGATATCGAGGATACTGGAAACCTAAATGTCTTTGGAGAATCTCCCATAGATGAAGCTAATCTTATGCATCTACCGAAAGATTTAAGTATGCCGTCAAGTAATCAAGTTTTCCTTGAATCTAAGGCCATCACACTTGATCAATTGACTGATGATGGAGTGAAGAGTGATCTGTGTTTAGAACGGGATACTTCGTCCAGTCGACAGCTTAAATCATCAGTCCCTGAAATGTTGTTAACCGTACCACGAGCACCTTCTCAAGATATTTTTGATGAGACAGACAATCTATCTGAAATGCTGTTCACCCCTTCAGTAGCAGTAGCGAATAATAATACTGTCACTTTGGATACATTGGGAGAAACGTATCAGAAAGCCTCAATGCCAGAATTACCCTGTCAACCAACAACAGAAGCAGACACTCATCTTCAAGATGAAAAAATGCTAATCAATTCCCTTATACCACCACCACCTCGACTTCCTACAAGAGTCATTATCAGCGATTCAAGGCTCCATTCTTCAGCTCATCTTAAAAAAGTATATAAGACGCCTGTGGTTGAAGACACTAAGACATCAGTGCCTTCTAGACTATCATCTCCGGTTGAACCAGATAACAATGAAAGTCAATTCTACACTGAGCCTACAGAATACATATCCAAAGAATTTAGTAGTATAGACGACGAAGGGATAACACATACTTCAGACTTGATGGACTTCACCAATGTGGTACAACCATCACAGATATTTAATCCATTAGCTGAAGGAGATGAACATCACAGAATTGAAATTCAGGCGGAAATACAGCAAAGTGACATCGTGTCGGCAGCAAGACAATGGAGCGAAACGAAAGCGGATGAAACTGCTGTATATGCATCTACAATGTCTGAAACATCCCAAATATGGAGTGAAATAGCCTCATTAGAAGAAAATGAACCTGTAAATGACAAATTAACAAACTTACCATTCCCTGTAACCCGAAGCGATGCACAAATCACCGACAGTATCTACCTACAACCAACAATGATTAATGAGCAGTTAGATACCAATCAAAGTGAAGAATCATATCATTCCCACGACACTCAAGACAACAGTGCAAAATATACAGAACACGAACAGCATCAAGAAAGTCAAACAACCGAAACAACACCAAGCCAACAAACACACACGAGGATCACAAACAACCTTGAAACCATAACGGAAATAAATATCTACAAAACAAAAACCATCACACAAGAAAAGATAATCTCGAAAGAAGTCTTAATAAACAAAACAACAGCGAATGAAAAATCAATCAATCAAGCAAGCTCTGAAACACAAAGTGAACCAGGAAACGTCATTCAAACAAAAGCAAATGAAACCGAACCAGATATTGTCCCGGATCGACTGCAGCCACAGACTACTGACTCAAGTGTTGTGGGCGTTGCAGACGAGGAATTGATCTCACCTGTTCGTGTGATTCAGAGTGAGACAAGACCAGTGAGTGAGGACGCAGAACTCGACGTGTTGAGTACAGACAGTCTGAGAGAGAGACTGAGGGATGCGATGAACAGAATCAGTGAACTTGAGAATGCCAAGGCAGAGCTGAGTGTGCGTGTATGTGAGCTGGAAGGTGTCGTTGTGTGTGACGACAAGTCGACGAGTGTGGGTGAGAGTTTGTCAAAGGAGGTTGAAGAGGCTGTCGCCTTGTCGAAACACAATGAGGATCTGAAGAGAGAGGTGGACTTGTTGCGAAACAGTGTATCAGAACGCACGATGCTGTTGGACGATGTGTGCATGGAGATGAATGAGATTAGAGGATCACTGGGCTCCCTGTTGAGTCAGGTGAGAGATTTGCGTGCAGCACATACGGAAGCGAACGCCGATCGAGCCGACATGGCGAACAAACTGATTGAATATGAACGGGCTGCAGTTTGCTTGGATTCAGCTGCCGATCATCCAACACGAGAGGTGCAAGACGCCGATGAACCGTCGAAACCCTCACTATCCGAATATAACGCATTGGACGAGCTGTGTAGAGATTTGCAGCGTGCACTGGACACACGATCATCGGAGTTGGAGACAGTAGTTGAGAAAATGAGAGGATGTGAATCAGTGAATGCAGCGTTGACGCGTGAGTGTGAGTTGTTAAAGCATCGTGTAGAGAAGTACACAAGGGTGACTACTGATCTGGAGAATGATGTGAGTCGAGCGAAGGCACTTGTGCCACTAGTTGTGAATGAGCTGAGAGACTTGCGCACCGACTATGGAGATTGGTGTAGAGAACACGAAGAACGAGTTGGTGAGTGCATTGAAGCTGTTGGGACAGCGCTATCAGCGGTATCATCGTCATTGGATGATGGTGGTGTGGTTGAACGTGTGGACCGTGATTGTGGAACGAGTGATTGGCCAGAGGAGTTGGATGCTTCTGTGAGCGAAATGAGAAGACTGTGCGATTCGAACCGTGAGCTGTCAGAGGATCTGTGCAAGTACCGCGAATTGTGTGATAAGCAAGCGTCGGAGATATCATCGATGCAGGTAGCTTTGCGTGAAGCAGTTGAGCAAGCGTCATCGGCACGCGATGAACTCGAGGCTTATAGACAGGAGAAAGTGAGCGCGCTGTCAGAGTTGGAGAGACGACTGGCTGTTTCGAGCGAGGAGTGTTGTGCATTACAGGCTGAAGTGCAGCGACTTGAGAAGTCGATAGAAGAGAATTGTAAGACAGCGGTTGCAATAGCCAGTCGAGACTGGGAGTTGCACATAGAGCAAGTGACGAGTGAACGTGACACTGCGCTTAGAGAGTTGGTGGAACTACGTGGAAGACTGGAGGCAGCAGAGAGTGTGAGGATTGGAGGTGTTGAAGAAGCCGGTGCAGGCGCAGGCGCAGTAGCAGTAGCGGTAGCAGGCGAAGAAGTGGTGACGAGAGTGATGACAAGCGATGTGAGAACTGAGAAAGTCATCGAGTGTGTCATTGAACATGATGTGGCCTTGTCGTCAGGATTGACGACACGTGAGTGGAGAGAGACTGTGAGCGTGGGAGTTGGTCATGATGTTGAGGACGACGAATTGATTGGCGGAACGGTAGTGGACGGTTGGAGCGACTACAAGTTGGAGTGGAGCGGTACTGGTGATGAGGACAAGTCGCCGGCGAGTGTACCGAGTAGTGTTGTATTTGTGGATGCAGGCACTCAGGTGGTGGTTAGTGAGTTGTCGTTGATCAGTGGTGATGAGAGTTTGTCAAAATCAGAGTCAGCCGGTGTTGGTGCTGGTGCTGGTGTTGAAATGGAGGCGGCGGCTGCAGAGGAGGAGGAATCGCGTAAGTCGATGGACGAGCTACGTGCAGAGTTGGCCTTCTGCTATGACCAGATGGCGACGCTATCGAGATGTGTGGAGGAGAGCGGTGACTCGTTGAGAGATGTGCGTCATTTGTTGAGTGTGAAGGAGAGAGAGGTAGCTGAACTGGAGGAGGAGAAGCGTCGTTTGTCGGTGGAGGTGAGTGAGGGTCATGAGACACTGTGTGCAGAACGACGCGATTTGGAGATGCTTCGTGCGAATGTTGCTGCGTTGGAGAAGGAGATGGAGGTGATGACGAGGCGGCGGGATATTGAGAGTGGTGTGTCAGATGGTGTTGTTGTTGTTGGAGAGGAAGTGTGTGTGCAAACGGAGGTGGAGGATGTCTTCGACTTGGTGTCGAAGCTGCAGCTGGAGGTGTCTCGTCTGCGTAGTGAACAATTGACGATGTCCACAGCTCTCGAGCTTTCCCAGTGTGAGTTGGACAGGAAACGTGATGAAGTGCAGAAGTTGGAATCACGCGTTGCGGCGGTGGAGGCGAGTCGATCCATACCTTGTGAAGGTTTGACGAGAACGCCTGATGTGACTGTTGATGAGTTGACGCGAGTTGACTATCGAGTTGAAGTGGAAGCTGCTGTTTTGTCTGGTCTTCCGGATAGGGCGTTAGTAGAGACTGTCGTGTGTGACACAGCAGGAGACATTGTTCCGGATCGACTGCAGCCACAGACTACTGACTCAAGTGTTGTGGGCGTTGCAGACGAGGAATTGATCTCACCTGTTCGTGTGATTCAGAGTGAGACAAGACCAGTGAGTGAGGACGCAGAACTCGACGTGTTGAGTACAGACAGTCTGAGAGAGAGACTGAGGGATGCGATGAACAGAATCAGTGAACTTGAGAATGCCAAGGCAGAGCTGAGTGTGCGTGTATGTGAGCTGGAAGGTGTCGTTGTGTGTGACGACAAGTCGACGAGTGTGGGTGAGAGTTTGTCAAAGGAGGTTGAAGAGGCTGTCGCCTTGTCGAAACACAATGAGGATCTGAAGAGAGAGGTGGACTTGTTGCGAAACAGTGTATCAGAACGCACAATGCTGTTGGACGATGTGTGCATGGAGATGAATGAGATTAGAGGATCACTGGGCTCCCTGTTGAGTCAGGTGAGAGATTTGCGTGCAGCACATACGGAAGCGAACGCCGATCGAGCCGACATGGCGAACAAACTGATTGAATATGAACGGGCTGCAGTTTGCTTGGATTCAGCTGCCGATCATCCAACACGAGAGGTGCAAGACGCCGATGAACCGTCGAAACCCTCACTATCCGAATATAACGCATTGGACGAGCTGTGTAGAGATTTGCAGCGTGCACTGGACACACGATCATCGGAGTTGGAGACAGTAGTTGAGAAAATGAGAGGATGTGAATCAGTGAATGTAGCGTTGACGCGTGAGTGTGAGTTGTTAAAGCATCGTGTAGAGAAGTACACAAGGGTGACTACTGATCTGGAGAATGATGTGAGTCGAGCGAAGGCACTTGTGCCACTAGTTGTGAATGAGCTGAGAGACTTGCGCACCGACTATGGAGATTGGTGTAGAGAACACGAAGAACGAGTTGGTGAGTGCATTGAAGCTGTTGGGACAGCGCTATCAGCGGTATCATCGTCATTGGATGATGGTGGTGTGGTTGAACGTGTGGACCGTGATTGTGGAACGAGTGATTGGCCAGAGGAGTTGGATGCTTCTGTGAGCGAAATGAGAAGACTGTGCGATTCGAACCGTGAGCTGTCAGAGGATCTGTGCAAGTACCGCGAATTGTGTGATAAGCAAGCGTCGGAGATATCATCGATGCAGGTAGCTTTGCGTGAAGCAGTTGAGCAAGCGTCATCGGCACGCGATGAACTCGAGGCTTATAGACAGGAGAAAGTGAGCGCGCTGTCAGAGTTGGAGAGACGACTGGCTGTTTCGAGCGAGGAGTGTTGTGCATTACAGGCTGAAGTGCAGCGACTTGAGAAGTCGATAGAAGAGAATTGTAAGACAGCGGTTGCAATAGCCAGTCGAGACTGGGAGTTGCACATAGAGCAAGTGACGAGTGAACGTGACACTGCGCTTAGAGAGTTGGTGGAACTACGTGGAAGACTGGAGGCAGCAGAGAGTGTGAGGATTGGAGGTGTTGAAGAAGCCGGTGCAGGCGCAGGCGCAGTAGCAGTAGCGGTAGCAGGCGAAGAAGTGGTGACGAGAGTGATGACAAGCGATGTGAGAACTGAGAAAGTCATCGAGTGTGTCATTGAACATGATGTGGCCTTGTCGTCAGGATTGACGACACGTGAGTGGAGAGAGACTGTGAGCGTGGGAGTTGGTCATGATGTTGAGGACGACGAATTGATTGGCGGAACGGTAGTGGACGGTTGGAGCGACTACAAGTTGGAGTGGAGCGGTACTGGTGATGAGGACAAGTCGCCGGCGAGTGTACCGAGTAGTGTTGTATTTGTGGATGCAGGCACTCAGGTGGTGGTTAGTGAGTTGTCGTTGATCAGTGGTGATGAGAGTTTGTCAAAATCAGAGTCAGCCGGTGTTGGTGCTGGTGCTGGTGTTGAAATGGAGGCGGCGGCTGCAGAGGAGGAGGAATCGCGTAAGTCGATGGACGAGCTACGTGCAGAGTTGGCCTTCTGCTATGACCAGATAGCGACGCTATCGAGATGTGTGGAGGAGAGCGGTGACTCGTTGAGAGATGTGCGTCATTTGTTGAGTGTGAAGGAGAGAGAGGTAGCTGAACTGGAGGAGGAGAAGCGTCGTTTGTCGGTGGAGGTGAGTGAGGGTCATGAGACACTGTGTGCAGAACGACGCGATTTGGAGATGCTTCGTGCGAATGTTGCTGCGTTGGAGAAGGAGATGGAGGTGATGACGAGGCGGCGGGATATTGAGAGTGGTGTGTCAGATGGTGTTGTTGTTGTTGGAGAGGAAGTGTGTGTGCAAACGGAGGTGGAGGATGTCTTCGACTTGGTGTCGAAGCTGCAGCTGGAGGTGTCTCGTCTGCGTAGTGAACAATTGACGATGTCCACAGCTCTCGAGCTTTCCCAGTGTGAGTTGGACAGGAAACGTGATGAAGTGCAGAAGTTGGAATCACGCGTTGCGGCGGTGGAGGCGAGTCGATCCATACCTTGTGAAGGTTTGACGAGAACGCCTGATGTGACTGTTGATGAGTTGACGCGAGTTGACTATCGAGTTGAAGTGGAAGCTGCTGTTTTGTCTGGTCTTCCGGATAGGGCGTTAGTAGAGACTGTCGTGTGTGACACAGCAGGAGACATTGTTCCGGATCGACTGCAGCCACAGACTACTGACTCAAGTGTTGTGGGCGTTGCAGACGAGGAATTGATCTCACCTGTTCGTGTGATTCAGAGTGAGACAAGACCAGTGAGTGAGGACGCAGAACTCGACGTGTTGAGTACAGACAGTCTGAGAGAGAGACTGAGGGATGCGATGAACAGAATCAGTGAACTTGAGAATGCCAAGGCAGAGCTGAGTGTGCGTGTATGTGAGCTGGAAGGTGTCGTTGTGTGTGACGACAAGTCGACGAGTGTGGGTGAGAGTTTGTCAAAGGAGGTTGAAGAGGCTGTCGCCTTGTCGAAACACAATGAGGATCTGAAGAGAGAGGTGGACTTGTTGCGAAACAGTGTATCAGAACGCACAATGCTGTTGGACGATGTGTGCATGGAGATGAATGAGATTAGAGGATCACTGGGCTCCCTGTTGAGTCAGGTGAGAGATTTGCGTGCAGCACATACGGAAGCGAACGCCGATCGAGCCGACATGGCGAACAAACTGATTGAATATGAACGGGCTGCAGTTTGCTTGGATTCAGCTGCCGATCATCCAACACGAGAGGTGCAAGACGCCGATGAACCGTCGAAACCCTCACTATCCGAATATAACGCATTGGACGAGCTGTGTAGAGATTTGCAGCGTGCACTGGACACACGATCATCGGAGTTGGAGACAGTAGTTGAGAAAATGAGAGGATGTGAATCAGTGAATGCAGCGTTGACGCGTGAGTGTGAGTTGTTAAAGCATCGTGTAGAGAAGTACACAAGGGTGACTACTGATCTGGAGAATGATGTGAGTCGAGCGAAGGCACTTGTGCCACTAGTTGTGAATGAGCTGAGAGACTTGCGCACCGACTATGGAGATTGGTGTAGAGAACACGAAGAACGAGTTGGTGAGTGCATTGAAGCTGTTGGGACAGCGCTATCAGCGGTATCATCGTCATTGGATGATGGTGGTGTGGTTGAACGTGTGGACCGTGATTGTGGAACGAGTGATTGGCCAGAGGAGTTGGATGCTTCTGTGAGCGAAATGAGAAGACTGTGCGATTCGAACCGTGAGCTGTCAGAGGATCTGTGTAAGTACCGAGAATTGTGTGATAAGCAAGCGTCTGAGATATCATCGATGCAGGTAGCTTTGCGTGAAGCAGTTGAGCAAGCGTCATCGGCACGCGATGAACTCGAGGCTTATAGACAGGAGAAAGTGAGCGCGCTGTCAGAGTTGGAGAGACGACTGGCTGTTTCGAGCGAGGAGTGTTGTGCATTACAGGCTGAAGTGCAGCGACTTGAGAAGTCGATAGAAGAGAATTGTAAGACAGCGGTTGCAATAGCCAGTCGAGACTGGGAGTTGCACATAGAGCAAGTGACGAGTGAACGTGACACTGCGCTTAGAGAGTTGGTGGAACTACGTGGAAGACTGGAGGCAGCAGAGAGTGTGAGGATTGGAGGTGTTGAAGAAGCCGGTGCAGGCGCAGGCGCAGTAGCAGTAGCGGTAGCAGGCGAAGAAGTGGTGACGAGAGTGATGACAAGCGATGTGAGAACTGAGAAAGTCATCGAGTGTGTCATTGAACATGATGTGGCCTTGTCGTCAGGATTGACGACACGTGAGTGGAGAGAGACTGTGAGCGTGGGAGTTGGTCATGATGTTGAGGACGACGAATTGATTGGCGGAACGGTAGTGGACGGTTGGAGCGACTACAAGTTGGAGTGGAGCGGTACTGGTGATGAGGACAAGTCGCCGGCGAGTGTACCGAGTAGTGTTGTATTTGTGGATGCAGGCACTCAGGTGGTGGTTAGTGAGTTGTCGTTGATCAGTGGTGATGAGAGTTTGTCAAAATCAGAGTCAGCCGGTGTTGGTGCTGGTGCTGGTGTTGAAATGGAGGCGGCGGCTGCAGAGGAGGAGGAATCGCGTAAGTCGATGGACGAGCTACGTGCAGAGTTGGCCTTCTGCTATGACCAGATGGCGACGCTATCGAGATGTGTGGAGGAGAGCGGTGACTCGTTGAGAGATGTGCGTCATTTGTTGAGTGTGAAGGAGAGAGAGGTAGCTGAACTGGAGGAGGAGAAGCGTCGTTTGTCGGTGGAGGTGAGTGAGGGTCATGAGACACTGTGTGCAGAACGACGCGATTTGGAGATGCTTCGTGCGAATGTTGCTGCGTTGGAGAAGGAGATGGAGGTGATGACGAGGCGGCGGGATATTGAGAGTGGTGTGTCAGATGGTGTTGTTGTTGTTGGAGAGGAAGTGTGTGTGCAAACGGAGGTGGAGGATGTCTTCGACTTGGTGTCGAAGCTGCAGCTGGAGGTGTCTCGTCTGCGTAGTGAACAATTGACGATGTCCACAGCTCTCGAGCTTTCCCAGTGTGAGTTGGACAGGAAACGTGATGAAGTGCAGAAGTTGGAATCACGCGTTGCGGCGGTGGAGGCGAGTCGATCCATACCTTGTGAAGGTTTGACGAGAACGCCTGATGTGACTGTTGATGAGTTGACGCGAGTTGACTATCGAGTTGAAGTGGAAGCTGCTGTTTTGTCTGGTCTTCCGGATAGGGCGTTAGTAGAGACTGTCGTGTGTGACACAGCAGGAGACATTGTTCCGGATCGACTGCAGCCACAGACTACTGACTCAAGTGTTGTGGGCGTTGCAGACGAGGAATTGATCTCACCTGTTCGTGTGATTCAGAGTGAGACAAGACCAGTGAGTGAGGACGCAGAACTCGACGTGTTGAGTACAGACAGTCTGAGAGAGAGACTGAGGGATGCGATGAACAGAATCAGTGAACTTGAGAATGCCAAGGCAGAGCTGAGTGTGCGTGTATGTGAGCTGGAAGGTGTCGTTGTGTGTGACGACAAGTCGACGAGTGTGGGTGAGAGTTTGTCAAAGGAGGTTGAAGAGGCTGTCGCCTTGTCGAAACACAATGAGGATCTGAAGAGAGAGGTGGACTTGTTGCGAAACAGTGTATCAGAACGCACAATGCTGTTGGACGATGTGTGCATGGAGATGAATGAGATTAGAGGATCACTGGGCTCCCTGTTGAGTCAGGTGAGAGATTTGCGTGCAGCACATACGGAAGCGAACGCCGATCGAGCCGACATGGCGAACAAACTGATTGAATATGAACGGGCTGCAGTTTGCTTGGATTCAGCTGCCGATCATCCAACACGAGAGGTGCAAGACGCCGATGAACCGTCGAAACCCTCACTATCCGAATATAACGCATTGGACGAGCTGTGTAGAGATTTGCAGCGTGCACTGGACACACGATCATCGGAGTTGGAGACAGTAGTTGAGAAAATGAGAGGATGTGAATCAGTGAATGCAGCGTTGACGCGTGAGTGTGAGTTGTTAAAGCATCGTGTAGAGAAGTACACAAGGGTGACTACTGATCTGGAGAATGATGTGAGTCGAGCGAAGGCACTTGTGCCACTAGTTGTGAATGAGCTGAGAGACTTGCGCACCGACTATGGAGATTGGTGTAGAGAACACGAAGAACGAGTTGGTGAGTGCATTGAAGCTGTTGGGACAGCGCTATCAGCGGTATCATCGTCATTGGATGATGGTGGTGTGGTTGAACGTGTGGACCGTGATTGTGGAACGAGTGATTGGCCAGAGGAGTTGGATGCTTCTGTGAGCGAAATGAGAAGACTGTGCGATTCGAACCGTGAGCTGTCAGAGGATCTGTGCAAGTACCGCGAATTGTGTGATAAGCAAGCGTCGGAGATATCATCGATGCAGGTAGCTTTGCGTGAAGCAGTTGAGCAAGCGTCATCGGCACGCGATGAACTCGAGGCTTATAGACAGGAGAAAGTGAGCGCGCTGTCAGAGTTGGAGAGACGTCTGGCTGTTTCGAGCGAGGAGTGTTGTGCATTACAGGCTGAAGTGCAGCGACTTGAGAAGTCGATAGAAGAGAATTGTAAGACAGCGGTTGCAATAGCCAGTCGAGACTGGGAGTTGCACATAGAGCAAGTGACGAGTGAACGTGACACTGCGCTTAGAGAGTTGGTGGAACTACGTGAAAGACTGGAGGCAGCAGAGAGTGTGAAGATTGGAGGTGTTGAAGAAGCAGGCGCAGTAGCAATATCAGGTCATGTTGCATCATCCTCATTTCATTCACCCTTATCTGTTGTTCCATCTCGTGAACCTGTTCAATCATTTACATCCGGTTTGGATACTGAACTTTCTCACCTACGTCGTGAATTTTCGAAAACTTCAATGTCTTTAATGTATGCCGTTGATCTTGTTGATGATTGTTTCAAACTCCTATTGTTATTCACACGCCTATTGACTGAAATTCTGAATACCTCATCGTCTTCCATCCTAGACGCTGAAATGTCTTCCAATGTAATAAACAATTTAAAAAATATTCTCTCCATTACAAATTCTACTTATTTTGTTGAATATTTTGGTGATTATACGCCTGTTTTATCGGAGTTTACAAATTTATGTGATCTCATCGCGTCGAATCCACAATCCTCCACATGTTCAATTTGTCATCGAATCATTGTGAACAACGATTCGATCATTTTATCTAGTTTATGCATGGATTGTTCTACGGATTTAGAAGGTTTAGATTATGCCAGTTTTAGAGAATTTATCGATTCCAGTGAGAAGAATCGATATTCTGATGTTGCGTCTACTGAGCATCCTACAACTAACGGTACTAATGATGAAATAATTGAAACTGCTAGACACTCATCAACTTGCCTATCTGTACCTATCAATAACGAGAATGAGATTTGTGATACTCCTGATGCGAATACTGCCACTATTATTCCAGCTGAATTAATTCACACTATTCAGGATCTTGAAGATAAACTTCTAATCGCTGAATCAGAAAGAAATCGCTTAAATCAATTAATCTATTCATTATCGATGCCAACGTCTACTACGTCTTGTTCTTCTTCTACTCAAGACAATGACGAATACAAGCGATTACAACTTGACTTTTCAAATATCAATAATACAAATAAGCATTTAAAATTATTTATTCATGAATTATTTGAAGAAATTTATCAATATTTAAAAGTATCCATAGAAAAGTCACCCTCGACATCATCTTTAGTTGAATCTTTGCAAAAATTAATTTGTTTAAATCGCCAAGTGAATGACTACATTGACCTTGAAGATATTTCCCGCCGTTTTGAAACAATCATTGAACAATTAAAACAATTAAAGGACACCAACAAAGAAGATGATGGTGATGTTGATATCTTGGAGATGCAAAACCGTTTGGAACAAATGCAGTCAGATTATGAAAAACTTTGTTTTGAAAATATTTATTTAACCAAAAAAATCAATACACAACTATCAATTGGTAATCAAGATAAATTGAATATTGGAAGAGGTATATTAAATTGTACAATAGAACAATTGAAACAATTGAATACACTGATCAATAAATCAATAATTGATAAAAGTTGTTATCCACTTGTTAATATTGATGATACATTTAAAACATTGGAGGAAATTCACTTGTCAGATAATTTAATGTTGGCATTAAATACCAGTGAATATAAATCAGAAATTATTCGATGTTATCAATATGTTAAACAATTAATTGAAGAAAATTTAAAATTGAAGACTTTACAAAATCTAAAAGTATCCTCTCCATCAGAAGTTGATGATGGTGATAATGACGGCGATACGCCACCGGCTTATCCACTTGATGCTAATCTTCATGAACAATTCTCTACCCTAGAGACTTCATTGTCAACCACTATGAATTGCCTGTTGAATCGTGTAGACGAATTAACTCAAAGAATTGATGTCCTACAGAGTGGAATTGAAAAATCTTCCCGACATGTCAAGTCGTCACAGGTTGACCGTCTTGAAGAGTTCCAACAGGACATGAATAATCAAATGTTAAATGATGAATTAACTTCATTAAAACAACGAGACATTGAATGGGAAGTTAACATCAATACCCTTTATAATTGTTTATCACAAGTGATCGTAGACGATAGTGACAAAGGCGTGGAGAAGACGGAGAAAGAGAAGAAGGATAGAGGAGAGGAACAGCAGCAGAAGGATGACGAGAAGGTGGAGTACGAAGACGCTAAGTCCACAAAACAGCCTATACATCATCCAGAAGAAATCTTACCCCAATTCAATCAATTTATCAATACTGCACAAACACAAATCAATAGAATAGCTAATCTTGAAAATCAATACAATGAACTCAATTTACAATTGAATCAATTATCCGAAGAATATGAACAAGCACGTTGTGAAGTGAAACGTCTGCAGACAACAGCTAGTCAACAGACTAATGATGCAGATAGATATACAAATATGTTAGATTATTTAGTAGCTAAAATTATTGATCTTTCAAGTGAATTACCTGATCCCAGTTCATCGCCTGGCGATGATCAGGATCATCATGGACTGGATGTTATCCGTATTCCAAAATCTTCATCTAGTACAGATATTGAACTTATTTTAATAAGAATTAAAAAATACCTTTGTGAGTATAAATCAATTCAAGAAAAGTTGAGACAAGTTGAAGAAGAGAAAGCTTCACTTATTAATCGATTAGCAAAACAATATGACTACCAACCAGAAGAAGTAGTGGAACAAGAAGAAGTACATACAACTCTGCCTGTCTTGTCTTTAGAGAAGCCTGTTGAAAAGATTGAAACTGTCGATACTGAATGCCTTCAAATGATGTCATATGCTATGCCACCACCTTCTGCCCCACCCTCTTCTCATAAAGACACCAAGCCAGTTATCGATCAATTGTCTGCTATGAAAGATGATATCATGCTGTTAAGATGTGAAACGATCAATATGATAGAAACTATGAATCAAAAGCTTGAAAGTACCATTGAATACACTACTGCATGTCTAACTGATACTTCGCCATCATCGTCATCTCTATTGAAAAAATCAGAAATACTATTCAACTTTACTAAAGATTTAACCACTACAGTATCACTGGAACCGTCAATAGATGATGCTCTAGTAGAGAATCCCCTGGAAGTCATCTCAGAAGATGATCTCACTGTATTCGTGAATGCCTTACTCAACAGAATTAAAGATACTTCGAAAGAGAGAAATCAGCCGCCATTAGATGGTGATATACATATTATTGATTCAAAACTTATGCACAATTATTCACTACTCATCAATAAATTGAGTAGTATTCTACACCTTCCTACAACATCTTATCGATCAGATCAATTCATCAATGCACAGATTGAAGAAATTCTCAATCGTTTACCAAATCTTTTAACAAATCAAAAGATGAATGAATTATGCGAATATATTGATCAATTACTTATCGATCTAACTGACATGATGATGATGATGATGAGTAACGTTGTTATTGAAGAAAACGATCAATATTCTATAAAAGTTGATGAATTATCAGACTATCTTATCACTAATTCATTAGAGTCTACAAATCTTCCTGAAAGATTTATACAACTGCATAAACTGCTTCTTCATCGTCAGTTATCACAACAGCGTCAAACACCTCTGTCAAAGACACTTGTCGATGTTTACTCCACTGGCGGTGGCGGTGTTGGTCGTGGTCAAGTAGAGACTACCGAAGAAGTATCAAAAGTTGAATCGGTTTCAATTTTAAGAAATATAATAAAGAGTTGTATAATCCATGAAAAGGATTATCGATTATTACAATCCCAATTATCTCAAGATGCTGCTGTATCATCACTCACGACTACTGATACACTCGATAATGATCTATTGACGTTATCATTCAATGAATTAATTGATCTTCTATCACAGAAATGGTTACAACTTGATAATCGATTAAAAGAATTTATTGATTATATTAGATTATATCATTTAAAAGAAAGAGAGATGATCACCGAACAAATCGATAATAAACCTCAACAACAACAAAGTGTCCAAAGAACAACAGAACATCAGTTGCCTTTCAGAAGATATCGATCGAATTCTTTTTCATATTCTCCTCGATTATCTTGTTGCTGTAATAATAATAAACTGTTATCAATAAGAAATAAGAATAAATCTATGTTAACTTTATCGACAACCAGCTCAGCAAAAACAACATTATTACACTATGCCTCATTATTAGAATTATTAACAGTTCTCGAATTATATACTCCAGCCTTTTTAATGCATGTGAAACCAATGAAAGAGATCCACTTGACGTATCATTTAAAAGCGAACACTATGAAGTGTGGATTACAACAACTGCGAAGATATTTAATGCAACTTACACCACCAACACACGAACAAGAACAAGAACAGCAACAACAACAGCAGACGGCGACGAGGTACACCGAAGAATTAAACACATATTTACAACATATCAATACCTATTTACACATGAAAGAATTATGCACTAAACAGGCGTTGAATGATTTACGCTCAGAGTTGATAGCGTTGAATAGACAAAAGCATAAATTATTGAAAAGGAAAGTATCGAATGTGACAACAACATCGACAAAGACAGTCAACCTTCTGCCTATCGCATCAACATCTTCCACAGTACCAATCATCTCGTCTTCATCAAATATCCTGCCGACTGTTATTTATGAAGATGAAGAAGTTCTACAGGAGAAGTTGATGTGTACAAAAGACAGACTGAAACAAACTATACTTATATATAAGTGTATACAAGAATTGTTAAATTATCAATCCGATTATTATCACTATTATCACTATAATTTAAAATCGATCCATAATGCTCAAGAGATGACTGGTGATCATGATGGTGATGATGATCGTCGAGGTAGACGACTGAGTGGCAGGGGGAGTACTCTTTGTCGTAGTCAATTATCAAATTATCCGAATGCAGATGATTATTGGGCGGAGACTGATATTGATGCTGAATATACTCATGATCGGAATCGTGATCTAGATCAATCACAAACTACTCTGTTATGTAATTATGATCCTGATGATGGCAATCTATTGTATATTGGTAGTAGTATTAGTGGTGGTGGTGGTTATAACGACCGGGAGCATCGGGATCAATATAATGAACTGGAATACGCCCTACGCTTGTTACATATACGTGATACTGAGTTATTGTATCTCATATCCCTTCAACATGATAATACTAACAATAACACCGATACAGGATACAATAATCTAAAATTCAATCTGTCAACCACCACTGCTGCCTATACTACTACTACTACTAACAATGATATCAGTAGTAGAGGTAATAGTAGTAGTCAATGGCTTAAAGAGAAATTGGATAAATTTATGCATTGGAATAATGTACAACCGATCAATGTGCATAATATACCAATTCATCGTATTGAATTCAGTCAGCCTCAACACCTTCAACAACCACAACCACAACAACCACAAATAATCGATATAATGACTACTACACCTAATCTATTGGTGAAAAGTCATTTATTGTCAAGCACAGATGATGAAAGATCAACTGCACTGTTTACAAGTCAATCATTTGATCATATGACATATTATTATGAAGATGAAACAGATGTAAGTTACTGCCCCGCCCCCCCCCTCTTTCTTTTCATTGTGTTTCTATTATGCTTGATGTATGAATGTATATTCTCTGAATTATAAAAGAAAAAGAAGGCGTGTTCAGCGAAGAGACTCTTTTCGGCGAATTCATTCACTGAGCTGTACAATCGCATTTATATACAATTTTGTTTGTGTGTGTGTGTGTACATTAGTTTCTGTAGCGATTTGGTTAAGTTTTAGGGGTGGAGTTACCAGCACCACACCCCAACCCTCCCTCTTTATCCGGTCTTGGGACCGGCTAGAAAATTAATGAGCTAGTAATCTAGGCGAGGTTAATGAGTGGTAGTGGTTAAAATTAAGTAAGGGTGGGGGTAGAGAATAATACAGTTGAAAATTAAGTAAGTTAATCGGATGATGTAACATAGTTGACTAGAAATTGGACGTTGGTCAAGTTACCAACATTACAAAAGGGTGGGGTGGAGAATAATATAAATGAAGATGTGAAATAATAAAATGCAAAAGACAAAATAATACAATTAGTAAGATTGAAATTAAGAAAGATTACATCCATTGTAGATTTAATGAATGAACGAATTTCTTTTTTATGCAGAGTTCAGGATTTAGCAGATGAATTGTTATTGCTTCTGCGATGTTTAGAAGTTTGATCCGTACACTCATTAATACTGTTGCCAACCTGACCTACTCTGAATTCTACTCAATTGTATTACGTCATCCAATTCACTTAATCAATTTTATTTTATTTTCTATCTACCTAACGTTTGTTTCCAAGCCAAATAATACTCGTATTACGTAATTATCTAAACTTTATAAATCTAATGTACACACACACAAACAAAATTGTATATAAATGCAATTGTACAGCTCAGTGAATGAATTCGCCGAAAAGAGTCTCTTCGCTGAACGCCTTCTTTTCTTCTTGTATATGACTGAATGGGGATTTTCAGGTCATTTTCTGAATTCCCCAAGTGAAACATCGCAGGATTTTACTAAGTTGATCACGGATTGATATCAGTTAGAGAGAACCATTGAAAACCAGCTGTTTCATCCAACTAGTTTGGGAATCATCGGCAGTACTCACTGCCCCCCCCCCAAGATTCGAACTCAGGACCTTTTGGACAAGGCTAGCGAGCTTGTGTACCATTCAGCCACTCACTGGGACCCGATTCCTCAATGGCTAGTCCATGAATTCTAACTTCTACCAATTCGTCCTGGGTTCAAACCCTGGAGGGTGGTGGGTGCGCACTGTCGATGATTCCCAAACTAGTGGGATGAAACAGCTGGCTGTCCAGTACTCCCTGTGGGGCTGGTTTTCACAATGGTGTCCTCAAACTAATATCAATCCGTCGTTAAAAACTCGTAAAAACAAAACTAACGCTTGCAAACCAAACTATAGAAAATCATAGGATTTCTCTGATATCCCTTAACACTTGTTGTTCACATGATTACCCACACACACGCACACGCACAAGCTTTTATCTAACATGTTGCTTGACACTCGGGAGTTGCGACTGGAGGGCCGCGTTTTGTCGGTCTTCTCAACTTATGTTCAGTCCACCTTCATTTGTTTCTACATGTTTGTTGGGTAGGTGATAGATTTTTGCCCAGTTCACCCCATCTGATGGAGTTAGTCGTCTCTTATCCTTTCTTAATCATGGATTACAGAGGGTTTGTTTGGCATTTGCCTGCCAATTTACGCCATCTTTGGCTTGGTAGACGTGATATCCGACTTGTTGTCAACCAAAGGACGTGTATACTGCTCAGCAGTATGACTATGAGACATGGCCACTAAAAGTGGAAGGCATAAAAAGGCTCTCCTTGTTTGTAGGTGCCTGCGTTCTGTCCGCATTCGTGTTAATTGGTGTCATAAAGTGAATAATATTGAGGTTAGGCATCGGTTGTCGAGTGGTGCGTAAGGAGGGAAAATCAATCGACGAGTCGAATGGTCACTGCTCTCCACTGCTTTGTGGATCAGGCTTCTAGTCAAAGGTTCTGTGAAGGGCATTGACCCTTTAAGACAACCATCTACTTCGGTGTGGGCTTCCGGAGGGAGCAGTATCCTAGCTGTCACACAAACTATAAGATTTTACTTAGCGCAGCTCATGGTTCACAAAATATACAAATTTTGCGTTCTCATAAACAATATAAAATAGTCTTTTTGATAAATCGTAGAGCTGTGTCTCATTGTCCTCTGAGTTCCTTAACTCCCAACCAAACTGGGTCATGGGTTCGAACCCTGTTCTATCTATCCAGGTTTCCGTGTAGCCAGATAGTAGTATCACTAGCTCTCTCCTTCACACACACACAGACACACATATAATGAAGTGTAGCTGTTGAATGGAAATACAAGTGATTACTGAGTTTCATTTAGTTGGAGGATTTCCTCATGAAGCTGACATCAGTTAGAGAACCATTGGAAAACCAACAGGGAGTACTGGACAGCTATTTCGTCATGCCAGTTTGGGAATCTTCAGCAGTACGCGCCCACAGAGAGTTCAAACCCAGGACCTTCTGGTTACAAGGCCAGCGAGCTCGTAGACCATTAAGCCACTAGGACCCGATCCAATGGCCAGCCAGTGCATGAATTCTAACTTCTGCCAATTCATGACATAGCGCGACCACTTAGAAATGTTTTCTTAGATGAGAATCTGTCCTCACCTTCAACTTGCTGTACCCTACTGGTCACGGCTTCCCACTGGATAGGACCAGTCACTAGTGAGCTTCAGTGAGGGTACGAGCTTACCTTGTAACCAGAAGGTCCTAGGTTCATACCCCGTTGGGTGCGTACTGATGAAGAGTCCCAAACTAGGACGAAACAGCTAGCTCTCCAGTACTTCCTGTTGCTTTTCTAGTGGTTCTCTAACCGATGTCAGCTCATGATGAAATCTTCCAACCAGTCACTTTCCTTGAATGTGTAAAATTACATTTTACTCGATTGTGTTTTTCTTTTTGTGTTTGTTTTCCTTTCTTCAAGATATACGAACAACATTTGTACACATTAGTCCAGATTGCATTGAATAAATTAGATCAATTGAATAAAAGTTATGCAGAACCAAAGAGACCATTATTATTATCACCGGATCGTGAAGATGAACTTACTGAATTACTCGATAGAGTTATCAAATTAATCCCATTGGAAAGTCACATTAGTAGTAGTCATATGAATAAGACAACAGATAGTGAATCAATTTATTCTCAATTGGGTAGACGTTTAACGACAACGGCGGCAGCGGCAGCAACGGCAACGACCACTACCACAATAATGATGACAACAACACCAGTTGCTATTACCGCCATCATGACTACAACTACTGCGACGCTGTCAACAGGCCCATCGTCAACATCATCATATTCTCATTATTATAAGCCTGTCTCTAGTACTACCTGTGAATCATCTGATCTTAGTCTAATGACGAATATGACTTATCCGTATCCAAAACGTGCAGAGAAAGCACCAATTCATGATTTAGTGGATTCTGTTGATCATTTAAGGAATTTGCATGAGCTACGCAGTCTAGCTAAATATCTGCTAGATCAATATCATATTGTTACAACAGAAGTAAGTTGTTTGTTTTTTCTTTTGTTTGATTAGTGCGCGTTTCATTCTTCCTTTTCTTTTCTTTTCTTTCTGATTCATTTCAATGTTATTGCCAAACATCCCGTGTGTGTGTTCGTGTCAATCGAGTCTGAAATGTCGTCACCAATTCCATATTCGTTTTTAATTGGTGGAGGGTGACTAGCATTGGCATCCAGCCAAGATGCGCATTTCGTCCTATTTGGGACTCGTCAGCCAACTGGATATACCTGCATTCCCCAGTCATTGAGTGATGATGTTCCCACCACCGAGGCTCGAACCCAGTGCCTATAATTTCAAACACCAAAGCGTTATCCACTGGACCACTTGGGCCACGAGAGCCAGCCACCTCTTGTGCAACGGGTCATATTAATTATCTAATTCAGTTTTAGATTTTCCCGTCGATTTAATTAAATAATTATTATGACCCGTTGCACAAGAAAGAGGTGGCTCTCGTGGCTTTGGCGTTTGATACTATGGGCACCGGGTTTGAGTCTCGGTGGTGGGAAAATTATCACTCACTGGGGAATGCACGTACATCCAGTTGACGAGTTCAAAATAGGACGAAATGTACATCTTGGCTTGATTCCACTGCTAGTTACCACTCACCAATTAAATTCTAATTACATGCCCGGACATCGTCGGAGCATCTGTACAAGAAGCCGACATGTCAACCTGAGACCGAGCACTTCGGTCCAATCAATCGATGGGAAAATCTAAAATTCATCCATATTAGTTTGTTTATTAGATATATCACACAGTGAAAAAACAGTATTGTTTGCTGGATGACAAAGTTTCGAACACAATTTATTGATTGTTCATAATCATTTCATCAATTATAATCACACCACTTCGAAACTTGAGTTTTATAGTTTTCTTTGTTCTCTCCTATTTGTCGTCGTAGGGGCAGTAGAATTCTCCTGATATCTGGGTGAACAGGTGTTGAATCATTCTTATTTCACGTGTTTCCAGTTGATTCGATAAACAAAGCTTCCGTTATCAATCTCTCCCTCCATCCTGTTGTTATATTACATTTTAAAACTGTCATGTTATCCCATCCCATCGTATTGTATGGTTGTGTGTAATTGCATGTAGTGAGTGGTATGGCTGAACTATTCCCCTAGATTTCTTGTCTTATTTAGGTCAACCAATCTAGATTTTGCTAGGTTTTTACGCTCGGCTATTCTGACTACCCCTGTTCTACTACATTTACTTATGTATTTGACCTGACAATCATTCCAGTAGAGTATTAGATAAACGAAATTGTTTTGTTTTAAAGGCTCCACAGGATTAATCCTTTAACCGACAGAGCTTGTTCCTAATTGCGTTTGTGGGTTTGAATGCCAGTATATTTTATTCCTGCCTTGTTAAGAATTCTCCGGTGTAGGGTTTCTGAGGTTCCTCCCTTGTATGGAATTACTACTGATGATTTAGGTTCCTTATTGTTGGTATTGTCATTATCCTGCGTATGTTTGACATGCATGTCGTCATTAATATTACTATTATTATTAGGGGGGTGGTTAAAGGCAATTGGCAGGATTCTTCGAATGTAGCTTACATTCCTTATCGGCACTTACTACTGAAACCGATGTATTGTGGTCTGTCCGAAACTTCCTTGAGACAAACTCACAGTCATAGAACTCTTCAAAGACAGCAAAAAGACAGTTATTTGTCGTAAGATCTATGGGGTTTTATGCAACAAAGATAATATTATTATATCATCGCTGACAAGTATTTGTCCTCATTCCGGAATGACTTGTTAGACTCCACTGGTCATGTGACTTCCCACTAGAACTCCAGTCAACTTCGTCCGGGAACCAGTTACTAGTGAGCATCCGAGAAGTTGAGCAAAGTTCAGACATTCATGTCAGGGACATTACCACCGACTGAGCTATTCGGGATCGTAATTGACACCTCCTGTAGGACTGTGATGGATACTTTGACTGGAAACTAGATAGTAACTGATTTTTGTTAACAAACATATTGCCACTAATAGTGGGAATTCGTGACCATTGGGGGAGGGTACAGCAGGTCAAGCGTGAGAACAAATACTCGTCAGTGATGACATTCTCTGGTGGTCGCGCTATATGGTGAATTTGCAGAAGTCGGAATTCATGGACTGGAAACCATTGTATCGGGTCCCAGTAGCCTAATGTTCTAAGAGCTCACCTTGAAACCAGAAGGTCCTGGGTCCGAACCTCACTGGGTGCGTATTACTGAAGAGTCCCAAACCGGGACGAAACAGTTAGTTGTTCAGTACTCCCTGTTGGTCTTCCAATGGTTCTCTAACTGGTGTCAGCTCATGATGAAATCCTGAAACCAGTCTAATCGTTGCTAAGCAACACTTAAAAATGTGTATTGTGTTAAATGTGCTACATATTATAGTAGAGCCGGATAGAGACGAGGATCTAATTGAAAAATAAATATTTCTTTGCTTAGTTATATTGCTTTCTAAATTTATTGATTTGTTAATTTTTGAGTTTATCTAATCCGTTTTTTTTTCTTCTCGGCCTCTTGTTTTTTTTTTTTATCAAATTTAGTTGGAATTACAATCTGATACAAATTGGTGTTTAAGACAACGATTAAGCAATGCCAATAGTCAATTGGATCGTCTAACTGACCTGTTGAATAAAAGTAGTCGAACATTTCAATCGATTGATGAACGATTAACCGCAGAGATACATAAACATTCAACATTAACAGGTAATTATAAAACGTGTACACTGTCACATATTAAAATTGAACAAAGCAAGAACAACAATTGTACCAGAAGAGCTCATCTTTTATTATTATTTCGAGGATTCTTCTCAACTGGTTACAACCTGAACGATAAAAATATGAATTACATTAAAGGTTTGAACATACTTTTCCACGATCACAAGGAGTAATTGGTTGGTAGGAAGCGTAAAAGTAACTTTAGTCCGGAATGATTTAACTAAATTAAGAGTTACAGACACACTGACTATTTATAGAATAAGAACAAATTAGTTCAGCGAAGAGTCTCTTTTCGGTGAATTCATTCACTTAGCTGTACAGTCGCAAATATATATACAATTATTTTGTGTGTGTGTGTGCGCGCATTAGGTTTGTCAAAATCAAAATAACAGTTAGTGTGGGATGTTGACTACATCATCAAAATAATTAAGAAATTAAAATGTGTGATTAATAATCAAAGTTGTAACTAAGTGGGGTGAAGATTGGTAAGATGTGAGTAGGTTTACGTAATATAGACATGTTTAGAAAGATTAGATGTTAGTGAAGGAGTATGGAGACAAATTATGAAAATAAACTAGATAATAAGTGAAAAGATTGAATGGGTTAGTTACTAACAAATTATTATACGAAAATTGCAAAAAAATTGATAACAAAATGTTGATGACAGATAAACTTGAAATTAAACCCACGGTAGTAGGAGGGGGTGGAGAAGTTTCTTCTGTGTGCATAACTCAGGCTTTTCTATCCAAATCGCTAAGGCTTCGGCAATACAAAGTATACGGAAGCTTGTCGATTTTGGAAGGCTTCTTTTGACTTTATAGATAACTTTGAACGACTTCTCCTTGCAAATCGAATGACCAGTGTTGAGTATATGCTCAATAATGGCGCTCCTTATTGTTCCGTTGTTACCTTTCCGTAGCCAGGCGGGATAGTGTTCTTGAACTCTTTTAGATAAAACCCGCATCGAACGACCTATATACCTCGCTCCGCAAGAGCAGGTGAATTGGTAGATACACATGGAAATGGTCAAATGCGATAGTTTATCTTTAGAGTAGTTGAAGAACAATGGCCGGAAGGAAAATGTCAGTCGTAGTGTGGCAGCGAAGAATGTTCTTCTGAGAGCAGTAGATATCCTCTTCTTCAAGGTGTCAGTCAGAAGAATATAGAATAATTAGACAATTAGTCTGGGAAACAAAAACAGAGTTGCGTATGTATATGTGTGTGTGTATAGAAACAAGATTTAGCTAGAAAGAGTATAACAAAAATAGTAGATTACGTAACTAAAGAAAATGTTTTATCTAATAACCAATAGAAAAAAGAAGAGAAAAGAAGAGGGTAGATTGAGTCATGTTTAGATGAGAGAGTAGAGTTTTCTAAACAGGAAAAAGGGTGACTCATAAAAGTTGTATATTGTGTTATCACCAGGGCAGTGCAAGATTCACTACTGTCTCTTTCTGCGTACACATAGATTTGGTTTAAGTCGCCTGATAGCAATTGCTTCAGCGAAGCGTAGCAAGCTAGGTTTCTTTTGCTTGTTGATTATTTTGAACGACTTCAAGTTGTCTACAATATGACCAATATATGTCTAACAGATGACGCGCAATCGCACTGTTTACTGCTTGCGGACCTTTCAGTCTCAGGTTCTTTGGTATGTGTTCAGAAATGCGGACAATATTATTTGGTGTTACTTTCATATCTTTGTGATTTAGAGAGATTATTTGAAATCGCCCTCCCCCACCCTGTTTCGATTGTTGATTTCAACATTGGATCAAAACACCTCAGGCCTTGTTGGATATACTCAACGTTGTCGAGCGTTCTACCGCCGCTGAACCACCGACTGACGTTCATACTTTAGTGCTATACTTGTTTTCCGTCTTATTTGTTTAATACTTTTTCGTTTGGTTAGAGGATTTCATTATGAGCTGATATCGGTTAAAGAGCCATTCGAAAACCAACAAGGAGTACTGGACAGCCAGCTGTTCTGTTCAACTACTCTGGGACTCTTCAGCAGTAGGCCGTACCCACTTCCAGGGTTCGAGCCCAGGACCTTCTGGTTACAAGGCCAACAACCTCGTAGACCATTCATTCAGCCACTGGGATCCAATGCAATAATCCATGAATTCCAACTTCTGCTAATTCATGATATGGCGCGACCACCTAACCACCTGTCGTGACCGTTTGGGTGCAGCAGGTCGGGTGTAAGAACAAATACTCGCTACCAGTGACATTCGCTAGTGATCGCGCTATATCATGAGTTAGCAGGAGTTGGCATTCAAGAGTTGGCCATTGGATCGGGTCCCAGCGGCTGAATGAATGGTCTACGAGCTCGTTGGCCTTGTAACCAGAAGGTCCTGGGTTCGAACCCTGGTGGTGGGTACGGTGTGTAACAACAGAAGACAAGGGCCAGGCAACAGATCGTTTATTACGAAAAATCAACACGTATTTATAGATTTTTATGTACATTATTGAAGGTCAATGTTAGTAGAAAATACAGTCTGTTGATTGGTTGTTTCTCACACAAAGTTAACCTTGCATCTCTTGTGGCTGTGTCAGTTCATCTATATGTTAACTGTAACCGCCTGTCCACCTTGACCTTTGACCTCGATTACTGTCAACCAATTTGGCCAGCAACCATCTCTCACCACAACATGACTAATATTTGATACATAAACATTGACCTCAATTACTGTCCACCACTTGGCTAGTAGACCGCTCTCACCACACTCGTCCCCCCGTCAAATAGTTTGGACTGAAGTCGGCTCGGTCTTCTCTGTTCTTGGGGCTTTGCTCTGTTGTCTTGCTGTCTGGAATCTCGGCGCTTGCGGATGTCCACTTGTTTAACGGTGTTTACCATTGCGATTGTGTCTGCGTAACCCCATCTCAACGTGACCATATATGGTCCTTCCCACTTTGGAAACTGTTTGCCTGACCCTGTCGCACATTCGTAGGTATTTCGCCTCACACTTCCATATGCTGCTTTCTCCCGACCTCCCAGCAGCGTCCCAAGTAGCAGCCTTATCGCTGACAGATCTTGAACGCCACTCAACTGCGAATAAGCCTCAAAGTCCTGCCCGAAGATCCATATGTCTTCATCAAAAACTGCAGGGCATAGGCTTTCCATTTGTCGGTAGGCAGCGACACCAAATGTAACAACAGAAGACAAGGGCCAGGCAACAGATCGTTTATTACGAAAAATCAACACGTATTTATAGATTTTTATGTACATTATTGAAGGTCAATGTTAGTAGAAAATACAGTCTGTTGATTGGTTGTTTCTCACACAAAGTTAACCTTGCATCTCTTGTGGCTGTGTCAGTTCATCTATATGTTAACTGTAACCGCCTGTCCACCTTGACCTTTGACCTCGATTACTGTCAACCAATTTCGCCAGCAACCATCTCTCACCACAACATGACTAATATTTGATACATAAACATTGACCTCAATTACTGTCCACCACTTGGCTAGTAGACCGCTCTCACCACACTCGTCCCCCCGTCAAATAGTTTGGACTGAAGTCGGCTCGGTCTTCTCTGTTCTTGGGGCTTTGCTCTGTTGTCTTGCTGTCTGGAATCTCGGCGCTTGCGGATGTCCACTTGTTTAACGGTGTTTACCATTGCGATTGTGTCTGCGTAACCCCATCTCAACGTGACCATATATGGTCCTTCCCACTTTGGAAACTGTTTGCCTGACCCTGTCGCACATTCGTAGGTATTTCGCCTCACACTTCCATATGCTGCTTTCTCCCGACCTCCCAGCAGCGTCCCAAGTAGCAGCCTTATCGCTGACAGATCTTGAACGCCACTCAACTGCGAATAAGCCTCAAAGTCCTGCCCGAAGATCCATATGTCTTCATCAAAAACTGCAGGGCATAGGCTTTCCATTTGTCGGTAGGCAGCGACACCAAATGTAACAACAGAAGACAAGGGCCAGGCAACAGATCGTTTATTACGAAAAATCAACACGTATTTATAGATTTTTATGTACATTATTGAAGGTCAATGTTAGTAGAAAATACAGTCTGTTGATTGGTTGTTTCTCACACAAAGTTAACCTTGCATCTCTTGTGGCTGTGTCAGTTCATCTATATGTTAACTGTAACCGCCTGTCCACCTTGACCTTTGACCTCGATTACTGTCAACCAATTTCGCCAGCAACCATCTCTCACCACAACATGACTAATATTTGATACATAAACATTGACCTCAATTACTGTCCACCACTTGGCTAGTAGACCGCTCTCACCACAGGTGTACTGCTGAAGAGTCCCAAAGTAGTCGGACGGAACAACTGGCTGTCCAGTACTCCCTACTGGTTTCCCAAAGGTTCTCTAACCGCTGTCAGCTCATCATAATGTAATCCTGTAAGCAATCAATCAAATCCTTACAAATCAATACTTGAAAAACTTATTTATTTGTTTTTGTTTTTTGTTGTCTCTATTTTTATGTGTATGTGTGATTGTGTGATTTAGAACAATGTGATATAGCCCGTCAAGATACGCGTCGAGTTGTACATACCTTGAGTGAAATAAATCAACGGCATAAACCGACAAGTGGTCGACGGTTAAATTTCGTTCCAGATTCTTCAGAATATTTGGTAAGTTAGTTAAACACGTGAGAGAAAATTATGATTATTATTGATTTTCCTTTCCTTACCTTTGTTGTTCTTTTTTCCTCTACAAATTTATTGATTATTTTGGAGGAAGAAACAAAAATTTAAATAACGAAATGGTGTGTGAATAGTGGTTTTGTCTTGTCCTTGTCTCCCTTCACCTCCCCTCCCACCCCCACCTACTACCTACCTATCTACCTCTTTCCCTTCCTCCTTCTCCGCCTCCTCGTCTGTCTTCCTTCCTGCCTTTTCTCCCTCTGTTTCTTCCTTCTGTCTTTTGTATTTAGATCGAATTAATCACGTACACACGTGTACGTTATCTCCTACTGATATCGTGATTGTAGCAGAATCCTTGAATTGACAAAGGTGTCCCTGCGTATTCGTATTCTAAATTATTGGCAACTGGCAATTTTTAAATTCTGGAGTCCTGTTGGAAAGTCACGGCCAGTGAGGTTCATCCAGTCAAGTGTGAGGATGGATTTCCCACTGATCACGTCGGTTGGTGCCAGTCGCGTTAAATCAGGAATTGGTAGAAGTTAGAATTCATGGGCTGGCCATTGTGGAGTTGGGTCCCACAGTGGCTGAATGATATATGAGATTGCTTGCCTTATAACCAGAAGGTTTTGAGTTCGAACTGGGTGTGTGGGTGGGTGCGTACTGCCGATGATTCCCAAACTAGTGAGATGAAACAGCTGACTGTTCAGGTTTTCAATGTTGTTCTCTAACTGATATCAATCCGCGGTCAAACTCGTAAAAACAAATCCAGTCCTTACAAACTAACTATTGAAAATGGTTATCTCCTACTCATATAGTATTCTGAATTATTGGCAATTGGCAGTGTGTGAATTCATTTCATATGATATCAGTTAGAGAAGTATTGAAAAATCAACAGGGAGGAAGTATTGGACAGCCAACCAGCCAGCTGTTTCGTCCTACTAGTTTAGAACTCTTTAGCAGCACGAAGCCATCAGCCAGGATCTTCCCCGTTACCAGTCAATCTCCTTCGCAGATCATTCATTTATCCTTTGAAGCCACCCGATCTAGTCACCAGGTAGAGCTATCGGAAATTCGGGAAGGATTTGAACACTAAGAATTCACCTGTCTGATTTTAGTGAAAATTGGGTACATTATACTGATGAGCTCGACTCGAAAACGAGCGAAACACTCGATTTGGCTAGTTAGGAAACACTACTGATTGATGTCAGTAGGGTGGTATACAACTACTTACAACAATCAATCAGTAGTATATTGTAGTGTAGTATTTGTATTCTCCTACAACAGAAATCATAATGATACTTTATTCTCCTATGCAACACTAACTTAATGCTTATGAGTGTGTTTAGGTGGTTATTACTTCCGGACTGCCTACATCATAGATATTGATTTCTTCTTAAAATATCTGAAACAAGGAATATTAGAGAGTTTGGTGACTGCAGTCATCCCCCCCCCCTCCTCAAGGGGCAACTGCTTGAAGCCTGTTTGAAGAGCGCGTGTTGTAAGTTAGTTGTGTCCGTATTAAGTCGAGATGCACGGTTTTTTTTTGGGGGGGGGGGTGAACTCCTGTCTCTCTAGAGCAGTTAGGTAACATAATTGGCTTGCTGTTGATCATCCGAGGGAAACGCATCACTACTGTTAGAACTCTCTAACTTCGCCAACAGACGCTGTAACATAGTAAAAACAAACTTCCAGCCAATGTAACCCGTTGGGTCATTGTAATCTGTAAGTTCAACTAGTATGTCAAGCTATATAGATATCTGCTAACCCCAAGTTATTATTTTATCGAACTGAAATACTCACTCTCTCTGCTGATATTATTCATCTCCTATATTACAGATGCTTTGATGATGTCTAAAAGTTGATGTGATGATGTTACATGGTTGATTAGTTCCTAACAGTGTACTCCAGATCGCATGTTTCATCCTATCTGAAACTCTTCAGCTTGATGACTGAGTAATGAATGATAGTGTTATCATTAAGACTAGAAGCCGCCAGCACCAACCTTAGTTTCAAACGCTTAAAGCATTATCCAATGGGGGATTATTATTATAATTAGTGTTTCCTTTAATTCTTAGAGGAACATAGGGCTTCAGCCGTGCGTCTCCATTGAGTTCGGTTCTCTGCTAGAGTCTTCACCTGACTCCAAGTCTCCCCACATGCTTTCATCTCCTCTTCACATGACCTCCTCCAAGTCACCGTCACGCTGACGACCAACTCGCCTCTTCCCTTTCGAGCTCCACTCGAGGAATGGCTTGTCTAGTGATGTCACTTAATGCATTGTTTCCTCAGAGTATGGCCAATCCACCTCCATTTTTTCCTGCTTATTTGTTTCACAACTGGTTCCTGGTTGGTTCGCTCCCAGAGATCCCTCACTATTGCTGATCTTTTCTGGGCATCTGATCTTGAGTACTGAGCGAAGATAACTGTTAATGAAGGTAATGAGAGGGGATACTAGGCCTCATTGGACACTTTAATTCGACACTAGTTAGTAACTAGTGTGAAGTGTCTAGCTCTTTGCTTACTGCAGACTGAATCCTATCAGTCAAGTTCGCAATGTGGCTACCATGCTAGGTAAGGCAATCAATCGCCAGTCTGAATAGCTCAGTGATAACGTCTCTGACTCTAGCACAGGGGGAATTCCTTCAAGGCTACAGATACACCTTGCTGACTGGTGAGTGCTAACTAGCACGAAATCTACATCCAGAGAGGGATTCCTGTGGCGTCGATTGTCTCCAACTATCTGATATCAACAATTCAAAGTGTACCGTAATGAGTAGCCACCTAGAGAATGGTGTGACCACATTGTAAACTTGACCGATAGAATTGTGTCCAGTCAAAATACAAATTGAATCACAGTGCTATCATATAGTGTGTGTCCAATAAAAATGTTTTCAGGATTTTCATCATGAGCTGACATTAGTTAGAGAACCATTGGATAACCTGGGAGTACTGGACAGCTGTTTCGTCCTAGTTTGGGACTCTTCATCAGTACGCACCACCGGGATTCGAACCCAGGCCCTTCTGGTTACAAGGCGAGCTTGTATACCATTAAGCCACTGGTTCTCTAACTAATGTCAGCTCATGATGAAAATCCTGTAACCAATCAAATCCCTACAATCCAACACTTGAATAAAAATGTTTTCAATTCAGTTTTGATTTTCGCGTTAATTTTGTCTTTATTCTTTTACGTTACCAGTGGAACATCATAGGGCTTCAAGCTACGGACTTGAAGTTTCGGTAGCTATGGTGTTGCTAGTCTCACACCCAAACTTCCCTCTTTGCCAGTCTTATTATTGGCTTAGCGAGGTAAAGGAGGAGTGCCTCGTCAGCCGGGAATCGATCCCCGGACCACCTGTGGCGTGGATGGCGAGCATTCTCTCCCTGTGCCACTGACCCAATCACGTTGATTTGATTGGACCGAATTGTTCCACCTAGTATATGACATTTTGAATGTCATCTGAGAATTCCGGTGAATGACGATGTCTAACAATGGAATCGTGTGTTAGGAGCTGAAATGCTGTCAGCAGAGGCTGAATGTAACATTTTGATCTAATCAATCAACGAGAAAATACAAAATTGAATTAGAAACAAACACTAACTGACACCAATTTTCAACATCAATGTGTAGTCAGTCAGTCACTTCTTCTCTATGGGTCAGAAACTTGGCCAGCGCGTCATAAAAAAGATCCCCCACATGCTACTGCAAACTCTTGTCAACAGCTGCCACCTTCGTTGGCTGCAGCCAGAAAGAATTAGCTGGCATTAAACCAACCAAGAACCAATTGCTCAACAAGTATATTGGCGGAGACACTGAAGATGGATAGGGCATTCACTGAAGGGACCATCGAATGACATCGAGCTTCAATGCAGGCCATCGCTGGAGTAGAATCCTAATGGGAAGCGACGAGTAGGTCGTCAGTGACACTGTGACATGGAGAAGATCGTGCGGCAAGGAGGAGGGAATGAGAGATTAAGAACAATCATGTGTATAGGCATCTGGAGAGGAGAGCCTCAAATAGAACAAAGTGGAGACGTGCAGTTGAAGCCCTATGTTCCACTAGGAACCCAAGAGAACACTAATAATAATAAAAATAATAATAATAATGGAACCACAGAAGACTCTAGAAGGTCTGGATTTCGCGTGTGGATGATTTATGTTGAATGTCATACAAAGTTGCAGGCAGGCGAAAACTAACAAACTGGTTGAAGAAGCAGCCGCCAAAGACAGGACTCCAGGTGAACATAGAGAAGTTGGAGGTGATGAAGATAACCATCACCACCACTACCAACAACAACCAGCACCAATTACCATCAACAGGAGAGATTGAACGGAGGTTACTTCCTTCACCTATCCAGCCAGGAAGCATCGTTTCAACTACAGGCGACAGCACGGATGAAGATGTCAAAGTCAGGCAGAATCGGAAAGGCAAAATACACCTTCATCAACCTGAAACCAATTTGGAAATCATCTGCACCCCATCTCAGCATAAAGAACACAATTCGGCTTCTCAACACAAATGATCAACCGGTCAGTTCTGCAATACGGGTCAGAAACTTGACTAGCACGTTACGAGAAAAGGATTTCCAACAAGACACTGCAGACTTCTGTCAACAGCTAGCACTTTCACCCTCTCCATACTGAATATCAAATGGCCAGTCGACTGGCCAGAAAGAATTTGCAACAAGAAACTCTGACTGACCGTGAACAAACCAACCAAATATGTAGGAAAAAATGGACATGGATCATCGGGAATACGTTAAGGAAGCTGTCGAATGATATTGCGGGCAATGCGCCCCATCACTCGAGTGGGATCCCAATGGGAAGTGACGACCGAATCGTCAGTACGAAGATGACATGAGGGAGATCGTTAGAGATGAGAGATTTCGGTCAATCATGTGGCTAGCCAGCTGAAGGATACAGCATCAAATAGAACAAGGTGGAAATGTGTTGCTGAAGCCTTATGTTTCATTCGGAAACCAAGGGAATACTAATAAGTAATGAAGTGGTATATTTATTGAAAGATAATTGTCTTTTCTGCTGTCTTTGGATAGTTTTTTGACTGTGTACAGATACGCATAAAAATTAGTAGAATATATTTATAATTATCATAAAGTACGTTATTATTGAACCAGAAACCACATCAACAGTTCCACTCTACTCCGTTATTATTTACTTTATTCCTTTGCTTTCCCACTAGAATGTAGGGCTCCAAAAGCTTGCGTTGTGAAGTTCCGATAGCACACGTGATATCGCTAACCTCACTCACCTACCCAACTTTACCTTTTTTATCGGTCTTACTACCTACCGGCATCAACTAAGGGTTGAGAAGTAGGTCGGTGGTTAGCGAGTGAGTATTCCTACCAACTCTACTGCCCCCCGCCCACCTTTCGTATAGTTATTGCCTAGCTGTTACTACTAATATCCGTTCGTGAAGAAATCCACCTGCCTACACACTACAAGCAACGAAAAACAACAACAAAAAAACACGTAAAGATTCATTTCTGTTTACAGTTTTCGTTTTTGTGGGATAACACTATTAAAAACACTTTAGAAATTTCGAAAAAATATGTTATACTTTACACTCTCTTCTCCTTGTCAGGCAGCTGATGAAACTTATGACTACTAATTCATAAATTGATTATCATTATTATTATTATTATTCAATCTATGTGTGTGCGTTATTACATACATGACATCATTCATGTGATATATATATTTCAGTTATTTACATCAAAAAATATTTATTCAATTTTATGAATGAATGAATGAATGAAAGTGCAATTTTCACATTCCTTCTGTTGAACAAAAAATCTCCTTTTTTTCTGGGTAATTTGATGGATGGAGACTAGCAGGGGAATCCCAACACCACCAGGTTATGTGCTACATTTCGTTCTATTTAGTGGGGCTTGAGACTGTGAGTAAATATATCTGTATTGCCTTTACATTGCCTTCCTCTGAGATTCGAACATCAGTACTCTCATAGTTTCAAACCTTAAAGCGTTATCCCCTAAACCACTTGAGCGATGATAGCCCCCCCCCTTGGGAAACTGGTGTGTCAGTTATTATTGCTTCTGTCTTCTGCTGTACTTTTCACCTGCATCCATTTTGCTCTACGAGTTCGTCTTCTACAGACAGCTGAAGCAATCGGAATCCACCTGAAGAAGCCAAGCTTATGTGTTCAGAAGAAATTTGTACAGCCACTTCCCTTACCGTGGCCATCTCTAGAAGAATGCATAAACAGGACTACTTCGCTCCACTCCCCCCAAACTTTTAAAAACTATAAAAATTATAATTGTCCAAATTATTTTATTTATATTTTCTGACTATTTCATCTTTAATTACGTGTTATCCTTGTAAAATTAATTTATTCTATCCATTTCTACCTTTTAAATGTGTGTATTGATTTTCTTCGTTAATTATCAACCCATTGACATTTTGACACTGACTAATTATTGTTAACAAACATATCAGTGCCACTCGATTGGTAAACTGTTGTGTATTGCAATAAAAAGTGCTATAAGTGTATATTAGAGTAGAGCCAGAGTGAGATGAGGATCTAATTGAAGAGTAAATATTTCTTCCCACTCAATCTTTCTGTTTTCTAAATGTCTAAATGGGGATTTTTTCTATATTAAAATGGAAATGTCAGAACAATCATATACAGTCTCTAGGAGTAAATCGGACAATAATAATAATAATTACAAAGTTAGCTGAAACCTCCCAGATATTCTTATTATTAGTAATAATTATATATACAGAATGTGTTTAGTTCTAGATTTTTCAAATAATGATTCCGTGTTACACTGTGTCTAATATTTAAAAAAATATGCTTTTTATTTTGACTGGACACTAGTAACTAACTAATGTGATATGTCTAGTCCCCTGTCTTTGGTGTGGACTGAATTCCATCAGTCAGGTTTGCAATGTGGCTCGCCATCCATCACGGTGTACATTGATTTGATGATATTAGTTAGTTGGAGGCAATCGGCTACAGGAAACCTTGTCTGGACGTAGGTTTCGTGCTAGTTGGCACTCACCAGTCAGTCAGCAAGGCGTATCTCCAACGATCTTGAAGGAACTCATGTCCCTGCTATCTGAGATTCAAACCCGCGTCACCTTGTGAGTTCTGCAGTCAGAGACGTTACCACTGAGCTATTCGGGCTGAATTCCATCAGTCTGAACCGAAGGAAGGACTAGACACATCACACTGGTTACTGGTGTCCAGTCAAAGTATCCACTACAGTCAGTCCTACAGGGGGTCAAACGCGAGCCCGAGTAGCTCAGTGGTAACGTCTCTGACTGCAGAATTCACTGGGTGACGCGGGTTTGAATCTCAGATAGCAGGGACATGAGTTCCTTCAAGCTCGTTGCAGATACACCTTGCTGACTGACTGGTGAGTGCCAACTAGCACGAAACCTAGCAAGGCAGGCAAGGCTTCCTGTGGCGTCGATTGCCTCCAACCATCTAATATGCTTTTTATGCTGTGTGATAATGTTTTGTTCTTTGTTTGTTTTTGTTTCTTTGTTGTTAATTTTTCACATCTACTAATAATATTATTTAGATTAAAAGTGGTCCATCATCATCTATTCAAACAATGGAGAGTAAATCCGCCTACAAATTGAAATCAAAATCACAAATATCACAGTCAACAACGACATCAACATCAATCCAGTCAAGAATTAGTGATCCTGACTTCTTTGTATTGAATAGAGTATATGTTCCATTTAGAATGATGGTAAGAAAGTTTAATGTGTTGTCATGTTTGTGTGTGTGTGTGTGTATGTCTATTTATATGCGTATTTCTTTGTGTTGTTATTATTATTATGTATTATTATTATTATTGTTTCCTTTGGTTCCTAGAGGAACATAGGGCTTCAGTTGAACGTCTCCATTGCATTCGGTTCTCTGTCAATGTTTCCACCTGGCTCCACGTCTGCTCACATGCTTTCATCTCCTCTTCACATCAACCTCCTCCTCCATGTCACACTCGCACTGACGACCAGCTAACTCGCCACTTCTCATTCGGGTTCCACTCGAGTGATGGCCTGGCGTGTGATGTCACTCACTTGATGGTTTGTTTTCTCAGAGTATGGCCAGCCAATCCACCTAACTCCATTTCCTCCTGCATGCATATTTTTCGCACAGTTGGTTCCTCGTCGGTTGGTTGGTTCGCTCCCAGACATCTTTGTTGCTGATCTTTTCCGGCCGATCATCTGATCTTGAGTATTATTGAACGAAGACTGCTGTTGATGGAGGTCTGTAGTTTGTTTACAGTGCCCTTCATGACGCGGCGCGGAGCCAAATCTCTGATCCGTATAGTAAGTAGCACTGACTGACTTCACATTGGAATTGAAAATCCGGATCTTATTTTCATTTTCATGCTGAGTGGTGTTGATCTCCTCCACACAGACTTGGTGGGGAAAACGAAAGCTTGACTTGCTTTCCCGATCCTCGCTGCCTTGATATCCTCGTCAGTTCCATCTGCCTGCCTACCTACCCAGGTAGGTAGGTAGGTGGTAAAGGAGGTTGCTTCTTTCAGACTCCTCCCATTTATGCTGATTGTTGTCTGTTGTTGTTGTCGCTGTTCCTATTGGCCAGGTACCTTCATCACCTCTGTCTTCTCTATGTTGACCTGAAGCCCTATCTTTGATGATACTTCAAGCTTTTCTAGTTCAACTGCATTTCTCGGTGGTCGAACAGAGTTGGGTCTACGGTGTTCCTTTCTTCTGATTTTGATTACCCTCTCTGACGAGGTTTTTCCGATGTATTATCTCATCACATTCCAAGCAAACATTTTATTTTTATAGACACAATTCGATAGAGAATCTTTAAATGATTTGATCTATTATATGGACAAGATTGCTTTGTAGCGCAATTCGTGATTTAGCGCGACCCCAACCAATGTCATCAGTGAGACATCCATCCACACACTTGACATCTGGATGAACCTCACTCGTCACGACTTCTCACTAGAATTCCAGGAAACTCCATCTTGTAGCAAGTTACTAGAGAGCATCAGATTAATTTTCTATAGTTTGGATTGTAAGGGTTAGTTATGTTTTACGAGTTGATCACGGACTGATATCAGTTGGAGAACCATTGAAAACCCACCGGGGAGTACTGGACAACCTGGTGTTTTATACTAGTTTGAGAATCATCCGCTGTTCACACCCATCAACACTGTTCGAAACCAGAAACTTCCGGTGACAAGTCAACCTCTTATACAACTCAGCCACTGGAACCCGACTACTCAATGGCCAGTCGATGAATTCTAACTTCCACCAACTCGTGATTTAGCGCGACTTGCACCAACCAATGTCATCGATGGGACATCCACCCTTATATCTGACATCTGGATGGACGTCACTGGTCACGATTTCTCACTAGAACTCCAGATAACTCCATCCTGTAGCAAGTCACTAGCGAGCATCAAATTAATTTTTTCTGTTTGTAAGGGTTAGTTATTGAATTGGGTCCCAGTGACTGAATGGTATACGAGCTTGCCTTGTAACCGGAAGGTCCTGGGTTCGAAATGGGTGGGTGGGTGCGTACTGCCGATGATTCCAAAAATACTAGGGTGAAATAGCTGTCGAGTACTCCAGTGTTGGTTTTCAATGGTTCTCTAATTGATATCAATCCGTGATCAACTCGTAAAAACATAACTAACCCTTACAAACCAACCAACTATAGAAAATATCTCATTTACCTCCCAATATCTTTTCTCTCTTTCTTTCTTTTTTTGTTTTCTCCTCTATAGCAATCAATATCATCACAAACTGAGAAACGCTGTAGACTCTCCTGTCTACCATATAGTGCCAGTAGTCGTCTTACCTGTGGTCCAAAGTTAAAACGTCCTACAAGTCGTAGTAGTAGTTCTAATAAACTAACTAACGACCGATCAGATTCACGTAAACGTCATCAATCAGCATCAGCATCAACACCAACTGTTGTTATACCTATTTCTTCATCAACTACTTATAGACGACCGTCGAATACTCGTCCTCAAGAAAGAGGTGGTGAGGCAGGAGAAGGAGGAGGAGGCGTAGTAGATGTACAGTCTGAAGGTGGGAATACTCAACAAACGAATAATAATAATTATTATACAAGTTGGAGTGAATTTGAATCAGGTCAACGTAAACTACAATCAGTATCATTATCGATTGAAAAAGATCTATTACGCTATTATCACCATCAAGAGGAATCCGCATCCCATTTAGGTGCACCATGTTCTTCTTCAACAATGATTACTGAAGAACACGAAGACGATGAAGGTGAAGAAGCAGAAAAAAGTAAAGAACATCCGTGTGAAACTCATCCGCTATTAGAAGAATATTACAGAAATCAAGAACACCAACAACAACAACAATCAACTATAACATCGTTGTCTTTATCATCTCCACCGCCAACGTTGATGAAAAGTGAAAATTCCACTTCATCACAATCCACTTCATCATCATTATCATTTACTAGTTTAGAATCACATTCACGTCGTTCTGCTGCTCCTGGTGGGAATAATGAAAGCCAAGCCAGTGGTAGTCGTGGTGATCGTCAATTACCACTTCGACAGAAGAAAACTAAATTTCCATCACGTTTTATGAATTTATTCAATAAATCAAATTATAAAAAGTCATAAAAACAAAATAAAACATAAAGAATATCATGTACAATTGTTTCACTCTACCTCCCCTCCCCCTCCTCTCTCTCTCGATGTATGTATGCGTGGGTGTGAGCATGGGGGACATGTACCGTGTACGTACACCCCTTCGTTCATCATATACACAATTGTATGGCCATTTTTTTCCGGTGTTGCTCCGATGTTGCTCTTTGTTTTCTTGTTTGTTTGTTTATTTGTTTTCTCATGTTTTGCTCTTTCATTTCTATCCTCATCAATTAAAATTGATTGAATGAGTATTGGTTGCCCCCCCTCCCTCTCTCCCTTCCTTCTCCTCCTTCTTCCCTACTCAGCTATCTTTATTCATGTGTTATCGCACCATCCGCTCTGTCTCATGTTGTTGATGTCTCATCTGGACGTCTTGTATTGATTTTCCTTCCTATTCTTGTCAAGAGATTGTGTGTATGTGTGAGAGTGCACCACAAACACATGCACACATACACGAAGGCATCGATGCACGGATGTATTATACACCTAGAGACCTAGGCTTGTGTTATAGTTACACTTATTTCAAAGTTATTATTTGTGTTTGTGTGTGTGTATGTTAAATTGTGTAAAAATCAATAATAATAATAATAACAATTCCCTTTTCAATTTTGTAAAACTTTATTTTCCATTATTACATTTGTCATTTGATATCTTTCATACATTCTTCTGTGTTTGATTTTTTCACATATACCAAAGCCCAGAACTGTGTGTAGAAATTAGGCGAAAGAATGCATCATCATACTCACAGCCACACAGACACGCAAGTACACTCATACACATTTTACAGATTTTTTTTTTGAAATAATTATTATTTTAAAACAGAATTTATACATCAATCAATTACAACGAAATAAATACACACACATTGACGTGTGTGTCGACGTCATTTTGACGTCGTTATCGTTAGTTATTCTTGACCTCTCCTTGTTCTTCATCTTCTTATTATTATATTCTCTTTATATGTTGTGCGTTTCTGTCAGTTAGTTATGAGTGTCTTTCCTACCCTGTTTCTTTCATAGCAGAGAGATATCCCAATATTATTTGTATATGTGGTGACTGTGTATTTGCTGTCTCCCATCCCACCCCACTCCACCTCTCGTCGCCACCTACGTACCTTTGAGAGTTGGATCAACTCAACAACTCAATAAACCAGCCCTAAATGTACTCTACTCTAATCTAATCTCCTTACTGCATTTTGGCAATTCCCCCCCCCATCTTGTTATTGTATGTATTTTGTCTTTCTCTGTGTCTCTGAATTTGCGTGTGTGTGTGTGTGTGTGTGTGGAAACTGTGTTCATCATAAAATGAGCGCCTTATGTTTTTGCGCCGTGTACACATGCCTATTCCCCCCTCCATTGAGATGATATTCTTTTCCTTCAATTCACTCTTCGGTGCGAGTGTATGTGTGCGTGTGTGTGCGCGCGTAATTGAAATGTGCCATATATTTTTCTAAAAAAATATATAATCCCGATTTTTCGATCTTTTCTTCGTTTACCTCATTTCGGTTTTGTTTGTTTTATGTTTTCCTTTTATCGTTTTATTTTTACAAATTGAATGTTTGAAACTTTATTTGCACACATGTATATTAGGCAACATACACACCCACACACGCACGCGCGCATGCAAGCACACACGCACACACATGAAGACAGAAACCAATTCCTCCTTCTATTTTTGAACTTTACTCACTTCCCCTTTTGACTTCACTTTTTTTCATTTTGAGCATTTTCTTTTTGAGTCGTCGATCTTGTTGTTGATGTTGTATTCTCATCTTCGCTCTCTCTTTCTGTGTAGTTATGTTTGTGTGTCTGCGTGGGTGTATAGATGTGATGTCTGTGTATGTATATATATGCATATAAATCAACCAGAACTGAAATGTATCCTCCTGTACACACGCAAAAATATGAACAGTTCTAGGCTGTGATGATCAAACGTGTCATCATCACCAAGATGTTCATTGTCAGTCATCGTTATTATTTCTTCCAACACTTATGAATTGTTGTCGTCATTAATTAATTTTTAAATTACCAGCTATCAGCTATCTTCTTCTTCCTTTCATTATTATTATCACATTGTCTCAATGTCATCAATGTGTCTGTTTGTCTGTTTGTCTCTGTGTGTGTATGTGTAATCAATTTCTTTTTTCGCATTCCTGTCATATAATAATAAATAAATATTCTTTTTCTGGATACATGTTGTGTATTTTTGTATTTTATTGATTGACTTATTGATCGATCGATTTATTGATTGATTGATTGATTGCCAAAGTTGGCTACGGGAAGTCTTAGCACTTAGGTTTCGTGCTAGTTGATACTCACCACCAGTCAGTCAGTCAATCAGCAAGAGAGACGTATCTGCCAACACCTTGAAGGAACTCATGTCCCCATTGTTGTGATATTCAAATCCGCGTCACCTAGTGTTGTTGCTTAATATAACTGTTATGCTATTAAACGGGATATCTGATAGGATTTAAGTTATGTTTGGGGTTGGTTGAAGATAGATTAAGGTTAGGTTAGAAATAGATCCGAGTTGGGGTTAGGGTGAAAAGATCAAATTTACGTTTCACCACTATGCCTGTTTCCAAAGTCATTGGTGCGTTCGTTCCTCTTCGGTGACTGTTGTATAACTTTTCTATCTTATCGTTCTATTGCCGGTATTCACCAGTATACATTTCGTTACTTGATAGACGAAGTTAATAATAATAAAAATAATATGGAGCCCAGCATTCAAATAGTCTTTGATTGGACACTAGTAACTAGTGTGATGTGTCTAGTCCTTTCTTTGGTGCAGACTGAATTCCATCAGTTAGGTTGGCAATGTGGCCACCATGCCACTAGGTAGGTCGCCATCCATCACGATGTACATTGATTTGATGATATTAGATAGTTGGGGGCAATCAACGCCACAAGAAACTTTAAAACAAGTAATAAAGGTAAATAAAGCAGGATTTATTGAATTCATCAAATTTCGGCAGGACTCGTCAGCTAAATACTCTACATACACGGATAAATGTATACTTTTGAAATTACATTGGGAGATATAAGACTGATGAGTAAATAAACTACATTGAATTAGTCATGCAGAAAGACAGGTGCGAATGTTTTTCCAGGTCATGTTCAATTAGATAAGGGGGAGAGAGAGTATGGTAGATCAAAATTAGGATAAATTGCATTACGCTTCAATTACATCACTTAGATAAACAATTAGACATTAGAGAATTTAACAAGAATTGCAACCAGAGGGATGTCAATAGTAATAGTTATAATAACAATAATAATAACAGTGTTGAAGTGAGTTAAGATAATGCTACTGATAAAGGATAGTTTTAAATGAATCAAGAATAATAATAAAACTAATAATAAGAGGTAGAATTATAAGTAAAACGTATTACCATGGTAGATTCAGAGTCGCCAGTCAGCAAGGCGTAACTGCAAGTGCCTTGAAGGAACTCGCATGTTCCTTCTGAGATTCGAACCCGCGTTACCTAGTACAGTGCTGCAGTTAGAGACGTTACCACTGAGCTATTCGGGCTAGCAATTTACCTCCTATAGGACTATAGTTAAACTATCATAGCTAAAATCACGCGGATCTTGAACAACCAATCCGAATTCAACGGCAGAAAAGTCACTTAATCGTTGAGAAATACATTTTTTTTAAACACGTCGCAAACATGATATAACTCTAGATAATTGTCGCTTATATGTTATAAGAATATCTCCCAGTCAGTATACGGATGACTTATGAAGAAATCATAGAATGCGCGATAGACGTATGTATCCATGCAGGTAACCGTAGATCAGAGTGCTCTGAGATCCATCGATATCCCTGACTCTGACTGTAATCCTAACCACCTCAATTTTGAAAACCATAACTCCACTTAACAGTAAAGATTTTCAGAGGAAGTATCTAGGGTATAAGTGGAGTGCTGAAACTATCCTCGCGAAATCTAAATAGGCAAGCAATGGTTTGATTTAGAATAAAATTTCACATGGTTCCCTAATTCTGATTGGTTCTAGAAGGTCAATTTCTGACAGACCTTGACTGTGGCTATGTGATACGTTAACTTCGCCGCTTTACCTTAACTCTGTTTCATGTATGTCGTCGAAAGTCTAGTTCATTTTCTCATTATGCGTAGCACAGAATTTGAAATAATTGAGAAAATTCCTGCCTATAGTAGATGGCTGTAATGTTATTTTATGCTCAATAAGCTGGATAGTGGTACAGCTGTGAAGTTTCATCCCCCCCCCCCACCCCCGTGCACTCTAGACAACATCTTCAACGCTAAATTCATAATGAAAGCTTTGTAAAAATAACAATGCCAAAAAACATTGGCAATAATCACTTATCATCCAATCACAAATGACTTTGAAGGTCATATACGCTTGTTCACGTGATTAATTGATGGACAAAAAAATCTATCCACAGAATACTAAAATCTGATTGGCTATTTTTTATCTGGTGTGTATATAAGACGATATACGTTTTATTGCATTATTGACGTGTAATTAGGATATCTAATATATCCACTGTGGAATGCACTTGTATTTATGGGTCGTGATATGGAGGGAGACGTACTACAAGTGCACACTAATTAATTACGAGTGAACTATACTGTGGACAGTTACACATATTCATTATTCTAACATAAGTGTGTAAGGGAGATTTACTGCACTTAACATTAACATTTTCGATGCAAATATCAAGTCACACTCAGTGCTTTTATATGATCCAAAGACTTGGAAAGTGTGTCACATTTCTAAAATGGCTATTTCAGATTTTCATCAACCTCTACCACCTTCTGTGGCTTGATACTGGATGGAGATCAGATGACCAATTAGACAGGATAAGCAATACAGGGAAATCTGTGAACGAACCAACTGAGAAACTATCATAGCCAAAGTCAGGGCCTTTCAAGACTGACCTTGAAGGACCACTTAGGTTAATCAGACACTTCAGTAGGTTATTTCGAATAG